CTTGAGTGTTAAATTCTTTTGTTTACAATACATTAAAAAGAAAGACATTTCTGAACATGTGATATCCATCCAACAACCCATCTAGCAATATTACCAAAGTCAATCGAACGCCTGTGAATCTAAAACTTTTCTCTCTTTACTAGCAGTAATCCCTAGTCACACTTTTTTTTTTACCCCCACTGGTGGTTGTCATCTAAATTATCTCTGAAAATGTATCAGACATTCTCATCTTCAGGTCTTTTCTTAAATGTCTGAAGTATTTCATGCTCCTATCAGGTATTTCTCCACAGACTTTTATTTCTTCATGAACTTTAGTATAATCAGCCAAATATTCCAGCAACTCTTTAGGATATTTGCTATTCTTATTATGATAAGTCTCAGTGCATAGAAAAGAGTATACAACCCAAGCAGATTTCCATATTCTAAGTAAAACATGTCTGCTCCTCTATTTCACTCCTTTCCTTTTTAATGTTGGATGGGATTATGGGTGACTTGTCCTGTTTTAGTCTAATCATACTTGTCATTGGCTCATCCTCAGGGAGGAACAACAATTTTTTTTCTAAAGACATTAACTTCTCTCTTTTTAGTCTACTTCTATTTGTCACTATATCCTTCCATTTAACTATTTCCAGCTCAATAAGCAATGCTTCCCGATTTGCGTTCTTGTATCATTTTGTTTCAGATGATTCTCTTTACGACTGAAACTAATAGAGAGAAAGAGGCAGGTAGAGAGAGAGGCGGATGGAGAGAGACACAGGAGACAGATGGTGGGGAGGAGAGGAGTGGAGAGAGAGAGAAGGATGGAAAGATAGATTAATGAAGAGAGAGTCTGATGGGGGAGCAAGGCAGAGAGAGGCAGGGAGAGAGAAAGGGGAGCAGGGGGAGAGATGAATGGAGAAAAAGGAGAGAGATGGGGGAAAAGAAGAGAAAGAAAAGGGGATACTTAAGAGAGATCTCTATGCTCTAAATCGGCATATTTCTGTAATGTTATATTTTAATGAGCATATTTTTCCCCAAACAGTTCATCTAGAAGTCATATATAAACAGGAATTACTTCAGCAGAAGAAAATTATTGTACAAATATAAAACTTCACCATGGACAAGAATGCACTGATTATAGCCATCTGAAAATTAAACAGTTTTAAATCTTGTTCAATGTCTGAACAAATCAAACCTAAAACTGATACATGCATAATTGTGTGGTTCATGCTCAGTCTATTAAAATATAGTCATAATACTTTGAGAAGTTGAGTTCTGTACTTCTTTGGTGTCCATGTCACAGAGAGAAGAAAACTGCAAGTCCCCTTCAAACAGTGCTAACATTTCTGAACCTACCATTGAAGCTCTAACACATTTCTTACTCATTCAAAAAATTCATCACACAAAAATAATAGAGTTGAGGAGTGTAGTTTAGAAAGGATTCAATATAGTACACACAGAACACTCCCTTACTTTGCAACACATTGCCTTTACAATCCAGTAAAGTGTTTAACTTCCATTTTTTGAGGTTTTGATAATTCCACTTTTCTATGTGACACTTAAACTAGAGATTCATTCCGAAGTAGATGGGTTTTTTTTGCTTCTACTTTTTTAAAAAGAATAGAATGTGAAACTCAAGACTGCTGGATTATGATGGGAAGATTGAAGTCCCCCTTCCCCATTGTTCTCTTTTCCAAGTATCCTTACCAATGCTTTTAAGTTTTGGTTTTAAGTCTTTGTGAAACTATTTCAGTATGTTTATGCAACTATATATAATCTTTGGACCAGGGAAAAAGTGTGTGTTGGGTAAACCAGTGGTTAGAGAACTTTCTTGGGATAATGACAGACCAAAGACTTGAACCTGAGTCTCCACATCAGTGATGAGTGTTATGGTTATCAGCTTAACTACTGTTCTGGATTCTCTTACACTGTTACATCACTTCAAGTATCAAAAATGAGTGCAGTTCAAGGGAAAAAGCTGATATTTCTTCATTAAAGCTAGCTTAAAAAAAAAAAAAGAAATCTTTATCCGTTTTAATTTTACTACCCTTTCAGTGGGATTAGCTGCCCTTCATGGCTGTGTCACACATTCATTCACGCACATCTACAGACACACAGACAGACACCTCTACTTTCTTGAAAAAAGATGGGGCTGGGGGAAAAAGAACGTGCACCTTCAATGTCATCGTATCATTTGAGGAATGTGTGCCTCTAGGGAAAGGAACTTGCTCTTTTCATTGAAGCACAGATCTACAAAGTGGACACACAGCTGCCTAACTGTGACTGCACTTATTTCCAGATTTTTCAAGGTTTTCTTTATAAGTGAGACACCACTCAAATTTATTTGCAAAATCTCTTCAGTATGTTTTCTCCTACTTGCATTATTTTCTGGAGGATGGTGATATCAAGTCCTGTCTCATTAGCATTTAAGTAACATCCCTAAACAGAGAGAAGTGTGAAGACAAAGTGAACAATTATTTACATTTAAGTTTTTAAGCTGTAGTGGAAAATACTGACCTATTGAGAAACTGATAAGCTAGCTCATTATTAATTGTGAAACACATAAATACAATTTGATAGTGTTTCAAATGGAAAAGAGAATCTAATGATCAAAGCAGTAACAGAATTTGAGATGTATAATATTTAGCACAAATGAGAGCAATAACAGTTGCACAGTATCACTAATATGTTCAGTGTCTAGATACAGAATACATTGCTGTTAGCCAAAATACATTTTGTTCACTTGGAATGTGAATTAATGTTTAGGTGTGCAAGTCTTCAGCACTTATGCTAAAGATAAATGATCACAGCTTAAGCCTGAGTATCAATTTTAAGGGATGCATGGCAAATTTCTCTTTCGGTACAGTAACTGCTACTCAGAGCATACGCTTACTGACCAAAAAATCTGTTCAAAAATCAAACACTTACTTCAATATGATGGAAAAAAAATCACATATTGTATTACATACAGTCAACTTCAGCACAGCAACACAATACCAAATTAAGAGACAGATTACACTTCAAATCAGAAGTCAAAGTCAGGCCATTACTTCCTTTTCTGACAATTTCTAAGGTGGGTCACAAATCAGTACTCTTAGTCCAATGTGTTTGTGTACAAGTTTTTCAGCATTTTCAAATCTAGCTAAATCTCTTTGCATGACACCCATAGAACTAAACTGAAAACACTTTTAGAAAGAAAATAATTATTCATAAATTAAGTAAGAGTGTTTTAAATACCAACTTTAAATGAAACAAATATTTTTTGTGGTCTATGCTGGATCTTGTTCTCACCAACAAGGAGGGTCTGATAGAGAATATGAAGTTCAAGGGCAGCCTTGGCTGCAGTAATCATGAAATGGTGGAGTTCACGATCCTTAGGATGGCAAGGTATGTCTATGATAAAAGGACTAGGAAAGATGTGGGCCCTCTGGAAGGAAATGGGAGACCTGGTTACCCAGGATATGGAGAAGGCTGAGGTACTCAATTACTTTTTTGCCTCAGTCTTTACTGGCAAGTGCTCCAGCCGCACAGTCCAAGTTGCAGAAGGCAAAGGCAGGAACTGAGAGAATGAAGAACCGCCCACTGTAGGAGAAGATCAGGTTCGAGACCATCTAAGGAACAGGAAGGTGCACAAGTCCACGGGACCTGATAAGATGCATTTGCGGGTCCTGAGGGAACTGGCAGATGAAGTCGCTAAGCCATTATCCATGATATGTTAGAAGTTGTGGCAGTCCAGTGAAGATCCCACCGACTGGAAAAGGGGAGACATAGCCCCCATTTTTAAAAAGTGAAAAAAGAAGGACCCAGGGAAGTACAGGCCAGTCAGTCTCACCTCTGTGCCTTGCAAGATCATGGAACAGATCCTCCTGGAAACTATGCTAAGGCATATGGGAAAAAAAGAGGTGATTAATGACAGCCAACAAGGCTTCACTAAGGGCAAATTGTGCCTGACAAATTTGGAGACATGGATTTGACAGATGGACCACTTGGTGGATAAGGAATTGGCTGGATGGTAGCACTCAAAGAGTTGCAGTCAATGGCTCGATGTCCAATTGGAGACCAGTGACAAGTAGTGTTCCCCAGGGTTCGGTATTGGCACCAGTGCTGTTTAACATCTTTGTCGGTGACATGGACAGTGGGATTGAGTGCACCCTCAGCAAGTTTGCTGATGACACCAAGCTGTGTGAGGTAGTCAACACACTGGAGGGAAGGGATACCATCCAGAGGGACCTCCACAGGCTTGAGAGGTGGGCCTGTGAGAACTTCATGAAGTTCAACAAGGCCAGGTGCAAGGTCCTGCACATGGGTTGGGGCAATCCCAAGCACAAGTACAGGCTGGGCAGTGAACAGATTGAGAGCAACCCAGAGGATATGGACTTAGGGGCAATAGTTGATGAGAAGCTCAACACCAGCCAGCAATGTGCGCTTGCAGCCCAGAAAGCCAACTGTATCCTGGGCTGCATCAAAAGAAGTGTGGCCAGCAGGTTGAGGGAGGTGATTCTGCAGCCCTACTCTGCTCTTGTGACACCCCACCTGGAGCATTCAGCTCTGGGGTCCTCAACACAAGAAGGACATGGAGCTGTTGGAATGAGTCCAAAGGAGGGCCACGAAGATGATCCGAGGGCTGGAGCACCTCTCCTATGAAGACAGGCTGAGAGAGTTGGGGTTGTTCAGCCTGGAGAAGAGAAGGCTCCAGGGAGATCTTATGGTAGTCTTCCAATATCTAAAAGGGGCCTACAAGAAAGCCAGAGAGGGACTTTTCACAAGGGCGTGTAGTAATAGGACAAGGGTCAATGGCTTTAAACTGAAAGAGGGTAGATTTAGACTAAAAAAAGATCTAAAAAAGATATTTTTTATATTGAGGGTGGTGAGGCACTGGAACAGGTTGCCCAGAGGAGTTGTGGATGCCCCAACCCTTGTGGTGTTCAAGGCCAAGATGGATGAGGATTTGAGCAACCTGATCTAGGGGAAGGTGTCCGTGCCTATGGCAGGGGGGTTGGGACTAGATGATCTTTGAGAACCCTTCCAACCCTAACCCTTCCATGATTCTATGATTTTATGATTCTATGATATCCACATAGTAATTCTATGATTCTATGATTTGAATCATTCATGTTATTGTCAAGTTCTGCATACTTAGATGTACAATAATGAGCCCTAACAGAGTTGCAAAGGGAAAAAGATTTGTCATCAAAACTATAGTACATCTGCCTGTGATGATCTGAATGTTAGGCTGTGTGACTAAAACTGCGTGTGATTAGAAGAATGCACTGAGCAGTGCTAACACAGACAGGACAGCCCCCTCCGCTGCTCTGATAAATCTGCACTCATTTAAAGAGTTCCTGACAACTCCCTGTGTAAGTGTCAATCCAACTGCTTTGAAAGCATCTGCTTTTTAGTTACGGTGAAAATAAAGCAATCCTTTCCAGAGTTTCATATGCTTTATAGGAGGCTCATCTGATGCCCAACAAACGTGGTAGTGCAATAGTCTGAAACGAAATGGGGAATATAGATTGCTTTCTATAAAACTGAGAAAGAAAATCCCCAAAGACCCAAAAATAACTGAAGATACTTTTCAGGAATATAATGAATTGTCAGTTTTACCAAAAGGTTCATTCTTCTCAGGATGATCTCAGCTGTGTTCTGGACTTTTCCAAGAATCTCAGAAGATTGTAACAATGTATGCTTCATGATGGTTGCTGAAACTACTGACAATGCCACAGCATCTCACAAGTCAAGTGAAACTTGGAGAGAGATGTGTACTATGAGCTGACTTTCTGGAATAATTGTTCTTAAATCCTCTTTAGAGTTTATTGGGAACTTATCCAGAAATGGTGACATCTTGTGTCATTTAAGAAAGTCATATTTTCAAAGGAGATTTGAGTAATGAGCTACTATGAATTGAAGACTAGCCAAAGTAGTACACTTCCTTCCAAAGAGGTCTAGACAGTCTGGCTCCATCCTTTAAAGAGTAATCCTGAGGTCTGCTGTCTCATTCTCTCCTGAGTTTTTTTTTTAACCCAAGAATACATTTAAACAGAGATACCACAAAAGGACTGAGCTCCTTCCTTCTGCCTTTTTTCAGAGTTGGTGGTTTTGATTTTGGCATTTTCCCAAGTAGCTAGGCAGATTCATTCACATATGCTACAGGTCTGTTGGGCAAAGACCAGAAAACCACTCCTGTGTATTTTCTTGTCACTCTCTAAATAAATTTATTTGCCACTTTTCAGTTATCATCCGTCTTTGAGGAAAGTCCTGAAAGTGGGTATGCTCCTGTCTCTCCAGGAAATTATCATGCCTCACTTCCCAAATCAATCTTGCATTCCTGATATCACTTTTGCCCAGCACTGTGTCTGTTCTTTCAAGCTTCCCAATGAATTTTGCCCTGATTACGTTCTACTTTCCACGTCATTGTCATATCTAGTGCCTTCTGCATTCTGCAAAAGTGTTAGCTTAGATCTTCAAATTTTTCATACTGGACTCCTTGGGGTGAGTATCTGCAGCAAGGTCCTCTTTTTCAAGTTTAGCATCAGGAGCTTCAGGATTCTTCCTAGCTTTTTCTCCCTTTTCAAGCTGTCACAGTGAGAGCAAGGAAGAGGGGAAAAACAGTTATACTGGGAAAAGGAGGGATGGTGAGGAGAAAAAATTCTATGAAAACAATACTCAGTTACTGAGGGAAGAGAAAGAAAGCTCTGTTTGTCTCTTACAACGATCGTAACTAGCTGATTTATTCCCTGGCGGTCATCTACTGAAGGAGGCCATCTAAAAGAGAGGATGCTCCCTTGGCTGTTTAAAAAGCAGACATTTCTTAGCAACCTCAATTTCTTTTCTCAAAACTTATTTCCTGAGACTGTGCCCTGTTACAACCAAGTGAGCTTTAAGCAAGAGGAGGAGAAGCAAATGTTGCAGCAGTTCACTTTGTGGTAAAAACTATTTATGCTTTAGAAACACAACACAAGATTTCTGTTGCTGTTACTCCTTTTCTGACATTTATAACTCTACAGCTCTTACACAGTTTTGGAGCACTTACATGATTCCTATGGCAAGGATACCTTGTCATAATTGCTACTAAAAGTCTAGGTCTTGGACTTCTTGTATACCCTCCAGCTTGATTCAAGGAGTGAAGAGACCATATGATTAACATCAACTCCAAGTATGTTTTGAAAATTGACAAAAAAAAAAGTTGTATTTTTCCATTATATAACCCTCATCCTCAGAAAAAATGTTTGAGTATCTATCATTGTTAATCAGTCACATCACAAACTGGCTCAATTTTGTTTAGCCATAAGTTGAGTATCTAGAATTCTGTAAGAAAAAGTATTAAAAATTTAGACAAAATAAAACTTATTCCCAAACACTAACTGAAGAAGTGACCAGTCTACTTTGAATCAGTGAGCAATACAAACCAAAGATTCTTCTTCTGATTGTATGAGACACATTCCACTAGGTAAGATACAGGATGAAGAGAAAACATTCTCATTTCAGCATGGTTGAGTCTATTTTTCACAAGTTGATGCCTTAGAAGTATTTCTGAAATCTAACAAATTTTTGTGTTTTGTTGTTGACAGCCCTTTAATTATATAAATTCCTTTCAGCAAAAATTTACTGTTTCAAACTATTATCTTTATTTAAAAGTTATTTAAAAAAAAAAAAAAACAAACAGAACAAAAGGTCGCCATATTTTCAAATCTAGTGCAACATACTTCCATCTTAATATGAAGATTTTAGCACTCTGCACACTTGGAGTAGAGAAGCAAATATCTCAAAATAAACTACTATTCTTTATGGGCAGCTCATTAAGTAGCAGCTTGTTAGATGTAAAGGCACATTTAAATACATATACAAATCACTTGACCATCCATGTGGAAAGTTAACCCTGTGAAACATTTGCCATTTTAATCCTTGAACTGAAGAAAGCATTAAGGTGTGTGCTTCTTAAGTACATGCTTCTACCTCTTCAAAGTAAATTTGCTTTTCGAGCAGTGTATTGTTTTTAAATAATAGACATATGTGATCTAGATCTTAATGAGTAGTGAGAAAAGGAACTCTATCCTGTGAGGTTCTGGATCTCACTGTATTTCTCATGATTCTACTCCCTTTGTCTCAATAATCCACCTCTAAACTCAGCTGATGCCCGAACTTGGACTTGCTCTCCAAGATCAGTTTCTTGGGATTTAGAAAAGATCAAACAATGGCATCATACTGAGTGTATCTCATTGTTTCTCCAGGATTTTCTGCAAAATCTTCATCCGGATCCAAATCCTCTTTCTTGGTTGCATTTCACATAATCTTCACCATAATTCAATAAGTACACAAGACTAGTATCACAATAATGTCACGATCAATTACTAACATTTTTAGATTGTTATAGTCTGCTCCAAATCAATTCCATATATTCTCCTTCAGATCACATGGGACAGGTGTGCCCTCAAACAATGGCAATACATCTCGACCTGGACAAGCTCAAAGTGGGACAATGTGAACCTCATGAGGTTTAACAAGGCCAAGTGCAAGGTCTCGCACCTGGATTGTGGCAATCCTCCAGGCTGAGGGACGAAGGGACAGAGAGCAGCCCTGCGGAGAAGGACTTGGGGGCACTGGTGGATGAAAAGCTGGATGTGAGCCGACAATGTGCGCTTGCAGCCCAGAAAGCCAACCATATCCTGGTCTGCATCAACAGAAGTGTGGCCAGCAGGTCGAGGGAGGTGATTCTCCCCCTCTACTCCACTCTGGTGAGACCCCACCTGAAGTACTGCATCCAGCTCTGGAGTTCTCAGTACAGAAAACACAGGGAGCTGTTGGAGTGGGTCCAGAGGAGGGACACAAGAACGATCAGAGGAATGGAACACTTCTAAGAAGAAAGGCTGAGAGAGTTGAGGTTGTTCAGTCTGGAGAAGAGAAGGCTCTGGGGAGACGTTATTGGAGCCTTTTAGTACTTAAAGGAGGCTTACAAGAAAGACGGAGACAAACCTTTTAGCAGGGTCTGTTGCAACAGGACAAGGGGTAATGATTTTAAACTAAAAGAGGACAGATTTAGACTAGATAAAAGGAAGAAATTTTTTATTATGAGGGTGGTGAAACACTGAAACAAGTTGCCCAGAGTGGAGGTAGATGCCTCATCCCTAGAAACATTCAAAGTCAGGTTGGATAGAGCTCTGAGCAACCTGATCTACATCTTCATATCTCTGCTCATTGCAGGGAGGTTGGACTGGATGACCTTCAAAGGTCCCTTCCAAGCTAAACTATTCTCTGATTCTGCGATTACATCAAAATTATTTGGTCTGTAAGTGTATAATGAACTTTTCATTTTACCTTTCTTTCACTTATTCTTGCCTGATTGACAAAGATATAGAGGCTGAATACTAAAGTTTCTCCCTTTTTCGGTTAAACATGGTAAGTACCAGTGAGCAAGACTGGCTTCATCTACTGTAAAGCTCTACTCCTGAATTCGCTAGTTTAAGTGGGGAAATGATACACAGCCCATTTATGCCTCAAACTGTCTTTCTGGGGCATGACATATAAGAGGAAACATTTTATCACTGGGGAATGACCTTGCCCTTTCCTCAGTAACTGTTTCCCACAAAAGAAGAGGGAAAGTAACATTCTTCCCCTACATGCAGCTGTTTCATTTCCATCTTCACAAATTACTTTCAACAATTAAGGTTTGATTTTCCTTGCCTTATCTTTGCTGTATCAGACAATATAACGGGAGTATTTTTCAAATGCATCTCAATACTTGCCAAAAAGAAAAAAAGGGGGGAAAGAAATAAAAAAAATAAGAAATATCCTCCAGTGCCTCTAAAACCACATCATTTTTAAAAGGATATGGGATACACATCCGGAGTTGTATTTTTTGTAAATTAATTAATACAGGCATCTCCAAATTCAGTATGTTCTGTTCACTACCACACAGGTAGTATGTATGTACATTCTCAAAAGAAATATATTTTTCTGTAAATATATATATATTTCTGTGAAAAGATATTTAGAAATATATATAGAAAAGTGCATTAAAAACATTATTGAGGTTATAAAGGCAAGGATTAAAGTGCTGGTGCTAAGTCATCCTGCTTACACATATGTATTTGTCTTAGTAATTATATGATTCCATATTATTTTTCCCTGTGCAATGAATGCTGATCTTGGAATAGTTGAAGGCCTATCCCCTATAATGAGGATGACTGAATAAAAACTCTTTTCTTTTTGAAAATCAAAGATATTAAAAGGTGTGTTGGTGTTTACCATATCAAGCATTTACCAAAACAAGTTAAGAACAGGAACAGCAGTTTAATGCTGCACCACAGAACTGGATTGTATCCGTATCTGCACTCCAGAAACAAACCCCTGAACATCTGAACAGATCTTTGTACATTTGAACATATAAAATGCTACTTAATTTATAGAGAACATTCTTCATGTAATATTTCATTAAGATGTGAAACCCTTGCTGTGAGATGCTATGAATGCTAAAAATTTGCATTGCTTCAAAGACCAATTAAACAAATGCATGGAAGAAAAATCCACTGGAACTATTAAATACAAAGACAATACATCTGTCTCGGAAAGCTGCTGTAAATTGTTGGAAGCTGTGAGAGTACACTGGAGGAAGTATTATATGCTTGCTTTGCTATTATAGTCTTCTAAGACCAGCCTCTTAACTCCCAGTCAATACTGGAGAAGAGTGCTTGGCCAGATGGACCTTCATTCTGACCAAGAAGAGTCATTCCTACATTTTTATGCTAACTATATTAATACTGTGAAAAATTAGGTCCTTGTAGTCATCAGTTATAAACACTAAGTCAGTGGATACTTATAACCATAATCTAATTGTGCTTTACTTAACGTTTGTGAACTGCTGATATTAACACCCTTACTGAGCCACAGAAGCACTGTGACAGTAAACTCATCAATGTTGTGAAGCAGTTAGATACTGTAGTGATAAACACCACTGAAAAGCCCAGGAGAAAGATTAATCATTCTTTTTCTAGAGAAGAGTTTGAATTGTGCACAGGAAATAAGGCTCAGGGCTAAACACTGAATAATACGGATAGAAAATACTGAATAAGTTATTCAATGATCACTGTCTATCCTGGGCCTCAAGTGAGGTAAGGGTCTGGTGAAAAAAAAAAATATAGGATTGTGTCATTTAAAAAAATATATATAATGCCTACATTCAGAGGTTTAAATAAAAGCTGCACCAGCAGCCTCACTTTTACCATTAATAAAAAAAAAAAAAAAAAAAAAACAACCAAAAAAACCCCAACTAAAACTCCTGAAATTTCACCACGTGGTGTCATCCTGGCAAAACTTTACCAGATGATTTAGGATCTCTACATTCATCACAACAACCTCTTCCACTTAAACTAATGGAATGACTGATGGCACTTTATTAACCTCTGTCTGTTTTAGCACTAAAAGAAATTGAGATAGTTTGTAAATGCATTTCACAAATAGTTGTTATAGCAAGGAAATATAGAAGTGTCAGGCTTTAAATGAAAACTGTATTTCAGTGGATATACATTCTCTCTTTATTCTGCTGAATGTAACTCCTTTTGCCCTGTTCTTTATATCTTGTCTCTTAAATTCCCCTTTTCTGCCCCTCACCAATGCTAACCTCCACAGTCAACCAGTCTTGGTTCTTATTTCCAGTCTCAATTCGTATACCCATTTCCTTTACCAGGCATTTCTAGCATTCTAGTCTTTTCAGATTTTTCTATACAGCCTGCTTGCCAAAATGCTCCAAATACCTCTATTCAAGTCTCACTCCCTCCACCTGTCTTCTAGTCACATCTCCTCACCCAGAACACGTCTATTTCATTCTTTTAGAGGCTTCATTTTCTGCTTATGTCATGACTCCTATCCTCCTGAAATCAAGACTTGCATAAGTCTACAGGAAAGTAAAAATAGAGGGGATAGATTTAACTATTGTGACAGGAAAACAACATATTTGTAACATATACATATACTATATACCATATGCTTTATTTCCACATTTAGTGTATTTAGTTCTCTGAAATGCTACTTGTGCACATTATGTGAGAAGATCCCTGGCAGATCATTGGACCATTTGGTTATGCAAGATACTGCTCTGCAATAAATGTGCACAAAACAGGAAGCAGAGTGATTGCAAATTACTTACGAACATAATCTAACAAATTAGATATACAGATGACAAGGAGGATTTGGAAGTGGATAAATAATGACTCGAGAAAATTGAAAACCAAAAATAAGTGTACATTATGTTTTTAGGAAACCTTACCAATGACTTAATTGAGATTCTGGGGTCAAACTACTAATATTAATGTGTTGGGGGTTTTAATCTGAAAAATAACCTAGATATACAGATTCAATACTCGCATTTAATGGCATTTAAAAACAGAAAACAATGATCCTAATAAGTCAGCAAGTAAACATGGAAAGCATTAAACTCACTGTTAACTCTTAAGAACTACCAGTAACACACACACTAGAATGTCGTATCACAAAGGTTTGACACTCAGGCAATATGCAGAGGGAAAATACCTATTTTAGAAGATATTCCTAAATCTAATTTATAAAACTTTAATTTATTTTTTTTTATCTTCTCTAAAAGGCATCTATCTCCCGGACACTTCTCATACTGTGAAAATATGAACACTTTACAACTTAACCTATTTCAGCACTCGTCTGGGCTATGACGGGTTAGCAAAAGAATTCACACAGCAATCACACAATTCTTACAAGAGAAAGAAGTTACTAACGTGTAAACTCAAAGACTAAATGTGATATTAATATTTTTGTAATGAATAATATGACAGAAAAAGAAGAAAAACACAAAAAATTGTCCAACTCCAGCCTGCAGTGGTGCAAGAGGTTATTCACCTCTAGCTTCAGGACTTCACAATGGCTTTGGCTGAATTTCATGAGGCTCCAAAGAGCCCATTTCTCCAGCCTGTCCAGGTCCCTCCAAATAGCAATTGTTCGTATGAATTGTTTCTCTCCTATTTGGTATCATCTACAAACCTGCTATACTTCATATATTGCAATCAATATCAGCCCTTGAATCCTGCGGAAAACCCGCAGTAGACACTAACAGTTGGATTTTGTACTGTTGATCATGAACTGTCAGAGTCAATGCAGTCCAGCCAAGTTTCCACCCATCTTATCATCCTCTTATTCAACTCGCCATTCTGACTGAAAGAGATTGCTCTGAAGCAAAGTGTAACAGCACTCACGGTTCTCCCCTGATCCACAAGGCAGTTATCTCATTGTAAAAAGTAATTAAGGTTGGTTAGGCATGATTTGAGCTTGGTATATCCATGCTGGCTGTTCTCAATCACCTTCTTGTCCTTCACGTGTTTGGAAATTACTTCCATGAGGGTATGCTCTGTAACTTTCCCTAGGACTTAACGTTAGACTGATGAGCCTGATGACACCAGAACCTTCCTCTTGCCCTTTCTGAAGATGGGTGTGACATTTTCCTTTTCCAGTCATCAGAAACTTCCCATGCTTGACATAACCTTCCAAAGATAACGCTGGCTTTGCAGTAATATTGGTCTCTTAAATCTGTTTCCCTCATCTTGCTCTACTGTGAGTAACATTTCCTTGCCACACAAATTTTGCTAGTAGGCTCAGTCAAAGTCAAACTTTGGGAAGTCAAACTTTACCACCAAATAAACAAGGCAGAAAAGACAATGAGTGCCTTGCCTTTTCCATGTGCTTTGTCACTAGGTCTCCTGCCTCATGGAGCAGTGGGTCCGCATTTTCTTTTGCTGTCAATGTATTTACTTTTGCCCTTTCCATCCCTCACTAGTTTCAACTCCAGATAAGGTTTTTCTAATTCTGTTCTTGCACACTTGGTGCATGTGTTACAAATCTCATGAGATATAGCATCGTTCATTTTATGTATTTTTCATATACCTCTAACTTCAGCCATCTAGCACTTGATTCCACCTCTTGACCAGATAATCATCTGGTTGGTACTACTTCTGAATTCATCCAAATAAGCTATAAAATATGGAAGGAGGAAATTCTACCCAAATTTCCTTGTAACCTAGCTGTTTAAGTGGTCATTTATATATATATTCTGTATATATACCTTCAATTAGAATGATTCTTTTCCTATTCTTCACTGAAATACTTTCCTACAAAAATATTTAAATTAGGGATGTGGTTCAGTTTGAAATAAAATCATTCAATATCTACTTCGGGGTGAGCTGAATCACTCTGTATCCTCTCTAACCGTATTGATTAGATCTCCACTGGCTATAACGGGAACTTAGACACCTAGGACAGACATCAACACCTACAGAAACATAGCTACTACTGGGTGTTTTAGATTGGAATCAAATTGCACTCAAGATGTCATTTTTAGCATTTCTTGTTTCTTTAGAAAACGTATGTGCAATAAATGGGAAACTGTAAAATGGTTTTAATAAAAGCGCAACCTCGTGGAATTAAATCTCACAAAACCTTTCTTATATTAGATACATGTATATTATTACAAATTCATAGATGTTAAATTAGGTACAGAAGAGTTGTTATATCACTTCGTAAACGCAAAATGAACATACTGAAAATACTGTCATCAGGAAAAAGTAATTAAAAAGGAATAAAAGTCTTCCCATAAAGGCTATAAAGTTCAAACAAAATGTATTGCCTACTTCTCAAAAGGATCCAGGTACATGAAAATATCATATCAGTAGGCAGCAATTAGCACTGCTTATTATGCCTTACACATTTAGCATTAAATGTTGTCAAAATATTTTACCTTGAAGTAATAAAAAGGATTAGGATGTGTACCCTGATTGCATGAGCCAGCAGAAAAATTCCATGGCAGAAGGGAATTCCAGATGTGGAACTCTTGTATGTGTCACCTCCCCAGGTGAGCCGGCCAAGCTTGCTGAAGGAAAGGGAGTGTAACTGCACTCTACACTGTATTGTCACTTCGCAATTATATATCAGTAGCATAACTTATAGCAGTTTATAGGATGCTTCAACTAGTGCCTATGTCAGGGCAATAAAAACATGGCCTAAAGCTATAAGCAGTTCCTTAATAGCTCATCCATGAATGCCCATACAAACTGAAACTGAGGCAAATAGAAGAATCTACCTGTAGATTTTTAGAAACATGGTTATGTTCTTCTTGAGCACTAGTGCAATGACTGTGAAAATGCTTCTCTTAAAAGCATCTGTATTTGCTCGTCATAACATTTCCAACCTTGACAAGTCACAAGATAGCAGACCTTTCAGATTACATCATTCTTCATTTTATTTCATTTATTTCCCCTCTTAGTTCTGCTATAACACTACCACTTGAAAGCAGTAATGTCATGTATCAATTTTAAAAACGTATAAAGCAGCATTAATTCTATTGAATTATCAAACTACTAAAATCATCAATGTCAGACAAGAGGGAAAACAAGATGGTGATCAAAATGCATTTATATGGTCCTCTGCAGTGTTAGACACTAGCCATCTAGAGGCTAAGAATTCTAGAAGAATTCTAAAATAATTCTTTTAAGTTACAGACACTTCAACTTTCTGGATTTTTTTCTTACTTTCTCCTTAACACATTCGTAAAACGTTTCTTATTATTCTTTCCGACTTTATCATAAACTCTATCAATCCTACTGGCACTGCTACAGCCCATATCTTGATCCCATCTATGGGTTGATAGTATGACCTTGGTAGATTTTGACAGTTCTTGTCAGTCATTTTTTACATTTGGTCTAACATTTTAGAGAACTAATAGAATGTACACTTGAACAGTACTCTGAAAGCAACATCTGGAGTAAGGACAAGTGAGAAATTTATCCATAGAGATTAACTACAGTGCTGTGAATTTAGGATCATACTGAGCTCCTAGGGAAGATTCATTACACAAACTTTGTGAATTGCCTTTCCCTTAACAATGAGATTTCTACCAGATGTCCTGGGTACTGGCCACATTGCCACCTTTGTATATTGCAAATATTTCAAACTAGCAAGAAATCTAAGGAATTCTGAGAATAAAATTTTTGTCTAAACTTTGATTGAAAGCATTTATCAGAAACAGGAGTAAAAATAAGTCTAAGAAAGGTAGAAAATGAGAAAATAAAGGTTAAGTTTTAAGAGAGGTTCATACATTTAAAAGGGCAAACATTTAGAATCAAGGCAGCAATCAACTATCACTAATACTGAACAGCATAAACTAAGAGCTGTAGTGATCATTAATTTGCATTTCATACTGAAAGACAAAAAGAAGAAAAACTAAATATGTCCCAAAAAGACTTAAGTTTCCTGCTGTAACAGGATAAAGAAGGTAATTGGGGAATCTGGGAATGCTTGTCTCTGCTTGAGACATCAGTACAAAAATCTCCATGCATTCATTAAAAGTAGTGTAACTAAAATTAGAAATAAGCATAGACTAATTGGATGCCCCATTGACCTACATGTAACAAATACTTGCCATTTTATTATCTGCGCTGGTTGTCTGAAGTAAATACCTTCTAACACAGAAACAACTGACCTCAGAAGTGTGTGAGCCCAGGCACTGCGACTGTAAGCCTCATATAATACAATCTCTTTATAAAATCAACCTAAGAAAGTTTCTCTTACTTTAAACAGTGCTAATTGTAATGACAAACAGAACCAGTGCCTTTACTTTTGTTGATAAGGTGATCCATTTGTTATTTAAAACAACTTTTTTAAAGTTTTAAAAAACTTTATAACATGAAAACAACTTTTTTAAAATTTTAACTAAAGCTTCATAAAGTTGTCCTGGTTTTTGCTGGGATAGAGCTAATTTTTGTCTTAGTAGCTGGCATAGTGCTATGTTTTTGGATTTAGTATGAGAACAGTATTGATACTACATTGATGTTTTCAGTTGTTGCTAAGCAGTCAAGGACTTTCAGCTTCCCATGCTCTGCCAGGTGCACAAGAAGACGGGAGGGAGCATAGCTGACCCAAACTGACCAAAGGGATTTACCATACTGTATAACATCATGCTCAGTATATAAACAGGGGCAGTTGGCCAGGGATGGCATGATTGCTGTTTGGGAATGGGCTGGGAATCGGTCAGTGGGTGCTGAGCAATTGTACTATGCATCACTTGTTTTGTGTATTATTTTGTTATCGTTGTTGTTACCATTATCTTTTTTTCCCTGTCCTATTAAACTGTCTTTATCTCAACCAATAAGGTGGGTTTTTTTCACGATTCTCCTCCCTGCCCCATTAAGTGGGGGGAGTAAGCAAGTAGCTGCATGGTGCTTAGTTTTGGCTGGGGTTAAACCACAACAGAATTATTTCAATATTTTAAATACTTCCCGCTCTACAAGCCCTATCTAAGTGTGATCTGATTTTGCACAGGAAGCCGAATGAATCATCAGGCTCTGCACAAGGCTGGGAGTAGATTTGTGTGGTTCTCAGTGTGCACTGAGGCCATCAGGCTAAACTGTGGCTTTGCTGCGAGCAAGACACTGCTCTGAGAAACAGATGAGGAAACAGATTGCGACTCGCAGACTGACAATCTGCTTGCTGGGTTTCTTATACTTTAGAGGAGAAATATCTTGGGCCAGGCCTATACATGGTGTAGCTGCGCTAAGTAAGGATAAGCAAAGAACGGAGCCATTCCCTGCCACAGTCTGCCAAGTGTAGAAGGGGAAAAAACCAGCTCCATGCAGGCTGCTCCGCCCTCCCATGCTGTGTAATGGCAGCAGCCAACAAAGAGCGAGAAGGGGCCAACTCGCCCTTCCCTACTACTCTGTGCCAGTTCACATTAATTCATATTCTATCCCACAATCCTGTCAAAAATCCGAAGCTCTTTTAACATGTAAATATGTAAAGTTTAAAAAGACTACAAATTAGCATTTAATCAAGAACGATGCGTTTTTCTTTAGGTTGTAACATACTAGTAGGGCAAAAAGGCATGTACATGACAGCATGCGGCAAACGGATATAAGGTTTCTGAGATATAGGAAAACCTTCGAAGTTGTTTTTCCTAAAACACTTTGAAAGAAATGAAGCCTGTCTTTATCCAATAATGAAAACTGGTTGGTCAATAAAAACATCTTCTAAACACGCAGATAATCAAATTAAGCAAATTAAAAATATTGGTTTTGTTAGAAACGCTTTACTCTTTTTATGTGTATATTTAAGGATTTGGGATACAGGAATTGACCAATACATTCTGTTAGAGGGAATGTAGAATTTCACTCTCAAGTTTTCATGTTTATACTGGAAAAATATAAAAGCCAGTGAAATAACTTAAAAATCTGAAAATTCTCTTTGCAATCTATTACACACCTAAAAAACATATTTGTTTTTAATATGAAATATAGTTAATATACTAATGTGTAACAATTCTTGGAAGTGCAATCCCAGAAGAAACAAATAAAAGAAATTTCCCTTACAGTTCAGTCTTCTAAACTGAATGTTTTCTGAGGTGTCTTAAAATATCCTTGTTTCATAGTAAAAGAACGGATCCAGCCCTGATGTACCATTTGGGACTGGAGACTGTAGCCTATACATGAGTAACACATCTTTAGATGTCCTAGCGCATCCCATCTGGAATTTAGCTGTATCTGCACAGGGCATGGTTCTTTGTTCAAAGTTCATCAGCCCAGGCAGATGCCTCAGAAACTCATGGGCATCTAAAATCTCAATAAATACGTTTCAGCAACTAAATAGCAGGTGTTTACTGGGGATTATACTTGCTCTAGCATGTTGTAATGCCTTAAAGATAACTTTTGCATCTGAGGAATTCACCCTCAGTATATTCACCCACAATCTTTATATAGCAGAGCAAAATATGGAGATTGAGGTAGGGAGCCACAAACTGGCCCAGAGCCTTTCCGTGCTTCTCCCAAACTGAAACAAGTTATACCGTCCACCCAGTCAAATGACACTGATCTGCTGTCATTGCTCTAGATAAACCAGTTTGGGCATGAGGTCTTACATAGCATCAGTTGCAGATATCTGGGTGCATATGACCTCTTAATTAAGCAAGTATCATTTTTATGCACTCCGCACATACTCTGCTTTAAGCTCGTGTTTAAATCCTCACGGGAATTCATTCATATATTTATATGTGTGCTTAAATGGCCTTCCAGAACGGTGTTGTTTTCCTGAACTGTTGTCATAATTTAATATAATGACTTAGAAGTCAGTCCTTAAAAATTAGGTAATTTACTCTGCAATTAACACCAATGAATAGGTTCAACTACAAAAAAACATACAAAAGCTTGTCCTATTTTTCCCCCAAGTACCATAAAACATACTGAGTTAGAAAAAAAAATGTTACAAAAATGTAAATAGGAGATCTAAGCTCAGATAGTTTGTTCCTTGGTTCAGATAACAATCGATGTGGTTTTGTCAATTCATGAATATTAAATTTCATTCACAAGGTACATAATTACTGCAAAGCAAGTTTCCACAAAAAAAGGCATTGAGCCATGGAGAGTTCAGCCATATAAACTGAGCTGTCTCCAGCACTTAGAAGAAATCTGAAGGGAAAGCATACTGCTACTTGGACCAACACATCAGGCACAGTATTAGTCCATTGTATGTTGAAAGACTTGGACTTTTCCAACCTAATGCTAGGAATGGCATTGCCAAAAGGAAAAAGAAAAAGCAACATGGACTTTTCTCACCACAACAGGACAACTACAGTTCTAGGACATCATTTTATGAATTGAGCAATAATTATGATCAATGGAACACCAGGTGTTACTGTCAAATACAATGTCTCCTAAAGATTATATAAAAAGAAGAAAAATATGTCCCTGTATTTTTTCTGTTGCTTTCTCTTTATTAGAACTTCCAAAATCAGTTTTTAGTCTAAGAAACTGTACACAAAAAAATACCAGTATAGCTCTACTAGTAAGCTACTTCAATTGGTTTTCTATTAAAAAAATCTTCCGGTCTCCCCAACCTCGTATTCAAACTTTTATAGCGTACAATTATGGCTCTTCTACAATTTTGCTATTTTCAGTAAGTGTTGATTTCCTAAACAGGATTGAGATGTTAACACAACTCAATTAAAGGTTAACACTTTCAGTACCTTCTATTGTTTCCATGTGTTCTGTACCAAGACAGACTCAATCTTAATCTTGTATGTCTTTCTGGACTTAATCCATAATTAACTGGCATCAGTTAGATCATGCAACATCTCAAAAAAAAAAGGTATGTTAAAAATATCCAGCACATATAATTATTTCTTGAAAACACTTTTGGTAATGCATAGTAGCTTCTAATTTGAGCATTCCTGGTGAAGTCAATGAAATTATTAAGATTCCCTCTAAAAAGCATTATGTTCAATAGTGTGTTAGATTGTGAATGGTTATGCATCAATTCATTATCAAATTCATTTTAAATGTATTCAAATAACTACTTTTAAATGAGAAATTTTATAGCAGCCGTATTCCAAATTTTTACTTTAAATTTTTGAAGTCACATTTACAGAAGCCATAGACATTCTTTACAACATTAGTAAGAAGTATCATAAATAAAGCAGTACATGTTTTACTTTGCTTTACTTCTCTTTAAGCTAAGTGCACTTCCAGGGGAAAAAAACAAAACAAAACAAAACAAAACACTACAGTTGAATTTATAGCAACAAATACTTTAATTCTGGGTAACGAACAATGACTGTCATGACCCATCTGTATATACAAAACACGTGGTTAATGTGTTCCGTACACAGAAAGTAAAACACTGCTGTTTAATAAAAAAGAAAAACACAAGCAAATACACTCCCTCTGGATATATAGAACTTATGATATACAACATGAAAGTGACAGTGCAAGAATATAGCACAGGCACTAGCCCTGAGGAAAGTCACAACACAAATCATGCAGTAGAACTGGATTATAAAGGGCTACTCATTGTACTGAAGTGAACTTACTTCTCTACTCACGAAAAATGATTATCACCTTTTAAGTCTCGTATTTTAAATTCAACCAATTATCTGGTATAATCCTTGCTAAACACCCTATTCAAGCACAGTACAAAAAAGCAATCACATGGTGTATTTTGATTTTGGTCAACGGGCGAGTAATTAAACAATGGTGCAGTAACTAATTGAACTGGGGCACCACAGAACTTTGGTAAACTATCAATATCTGAACTGTTGTTGTTTACAGAACTAAAACTAGCTTTAAAATAGCAAGACTTTATATAATAAACAGGCATAATTTGGATGGTTACACTAAATTTCCTCTGATAGGGAACACTGAAATAATATATTGACAAGGAGGAACTGGCAATAGAATCACAAATATATTTTCTTTAAGCAATTTCCATTTCTCTAGGCCTTTTCTTTCTTTCCAGGAAAAAAAAAAAAAACAACAACCAAACCAAACCAAACCCCCAATTTATTCAGCTTCTAGGTCAACAGTGTTACAGTTCATTCTGTCTTCTTTTGCCATGGCTAGTGTAGTATTGAACACTAGCACTGGACTGTGTGCTGCAGACCTTCTCTTGTTTGAATGCTGCCAAATGTCATCAATGCTTTTGATAATGCTCTTACTTAAAAGCATGATGAAACTCAACATCAAAGCCATGCTGTAAGTTGCCTGGGATATTACCACTGGCTAAAGTTAAGTCCTTTCACCCAACATGGCCAGTAACCTAGTTTCACTCCACTAAATCCAGGTACCTTGAAAGTAATGCTGCTCTTACCTATCCTGCTCCATAAGTTTTACACCTCCTCTGACTCAACCATCTCTCATAAAAAAGATTTCCTTTCTTTGTTTTGTAGGCTCATTACTATGGCATGCCTAATTTCTCCTGCAAGTGAGGGTAGCAAGTATGGGTGAGGGTATGGGGTGAAGCTATGGCTTTTTACACAGAATTCCACAATGCAATGCCTTGTCTGGGATTAACGTTTCCATCTGTGATTTAAAGTAGCAATTTGAAGACGAAACACCAAAGGAAGGGTAATTAGTATATTGTGCATATTAGCCCAGCAATAAAAATGTAAGTTCTTCACCAGAGCTAGCCACAGAATGAACAAGTACCTTACAGACGCATGGAAGGCAAGAAATTCAGTCTCACTGTATTAATAAAATGACTGCCTGTGACTTTAAACACAGGCACACTTGTACTTGGCGAGAGAGTGAACGATTTATTGTTACTATGAAGGATGCAGGAATGGAAATGAAGATGAGAAGGGCGATGATGATAATAGGGAGGAAGAGGTTAATATCCCCAGCATCTGATGGGGAACGACGTCCCTACCTCAGCAAGCTGGATAAGGGAATAGCTCCAGATCCACTGCCCAGGATCCCTCCTTTCCTCCCAGAGAGGAGTTTCTCCACCAGAGCCACATTCCCAGTGCGAGCAGCTTCCAGCAGTTCCTGGTCCTTCCCCATGGTCAGAAGCCAAGCAGCCTCCCCACGCACCTCGCCGCGCACTGGGAGAGCTCCAGCCCGGGCCACAGCGGCCGCCTCTCGCCACCGAACGACGTCCCCCCCCCAGACCCTGCCTCAGAGCAGAGCAGAGATTCCTGCAGTTCCTTCCAGACCAGCAGGAGCAGCAGCAGGAGGGAGGAGAATCACCTCCTCCTAGTTTCACTGGATCGTTTCTGGGTGGAGTGTGGAAAAGACG